AAAAGGGAGGGATGGAAAGAGGGAGAAAAGGGGAAAAAGGAGAGAAAAGAAGGGGGAAAGGAGAGAAAAAGAGGGAGAAAAAGAGGGAGAAAAGGAAATAAAGAATGGAGAAAAAGAGGGAGAAAAGGTGGAAAAATGAGCGAGAAAAGGGGGAAAAATGATGGAGAAAAGGAGGAAAAAGGGAGAGATGAAAAGAGGGAGAAAAGGAAATAAAGAATGGAGAAAAAGGGGGGAAAGGTGGAAAAAGCAGAGAGAAAAGGAGGAAAAATTAGGGAGAAAACAAGGAATTATGGAGAGAGAAAAGGAGAAAAAAGGGAGGGATGAAAAGAGGGAGAAAATGGAAAAAAGGAGAGAAAATGAGGGGGGAAAGGGAAAAAATGAGAGAAAAAGGGGGAGAAAAGGGAAAAAAGGATGGAGAAAAAGAGGGAGAAAAGGAGGAAAAAGCAGAGAGAAAAGGAGGAAAAAGGGAGGGATGGAAAAAGGGAGAAAAGGAAAAAGAGGATGGAGAAAAAGAGGGAGAAAAGGAAAAAAAGGAGAGAAAAAGAGGGAGAAAAGGAAGAAAAGGAGGGAGAAAAAAAGGAGAAATAAACAGAGAAATCAAAGGGATAAAAGGAGGAAAATGAGTGGAAAACGAGAGGGGAAAAAAGGAATCAAAGGAGAAAAAAAGAGAAATCAAAGGAGGGATAAAAGGAGGAATCAAAGGGATAAAAGGAGGAAAATGAGTGGAAAGAAAGAGGAAAAAAAAAGAATCAAAGGAGAAATAAGAAAAATAAAAGGAGGGATAAAAAGAGAAATCAAAGGAGGGAGAAAAGGAGGAATAAAAGGAGGAAAATGAGTGGAAAAAAAGAGGGAAAAAAGGAATCAAAGGAGAAAAAAGAAATAAAAGGAGGGATAAAAGGAATAAAAGGAGGAAAATGAGTGGAAAATGAGAGGAAAAGAAGGAATCAAAGGAGAAAAAAGAAATAAAAAGAGAGATAAAAGGAGAAATCAAAGGAGGAATAAGAGAAATAAGAGGAGGAATCAAAGGAACAAAAGGAGGAAACAAAAGGAGGAAAATGAGGGGAAAATGAGAAGAAAAAAAAGAAATCAAAGGAGAAAAAAGAGAAATCAAAGGAGGAATCAAAGGAGGGATAAAAAGAGAAATCAAAGGAGGAAACAAAAAGGAGGAAAATGAGTGGAAAATGAGAGGGAAAAAAGGAATCAAAGGAGAAATAAAAGAAATCAAAGGAGGAATAAAAGGAGAAATCAAAGGAATAAAAGGAGGAAAATGAGTGGAAAATGAGAAGAAAAGAAGGAATCAAAGGAGAAAAAAGAGAAATCAAAGGAGGAATCAAAGGAGGGATAAAAAGAGAAATCAAAGGAATAAAAGGAGAAATCAAAGGAGAAAAAAGAGAAATCAAAGGAATAAAAGGAGAAAACTGAGAGGAAAATGAGAGGGAAAAAAGGAACCAAAGGAGAAAAAAGAGAAATAAAAGGAGGAATAAAAAGAGAAATAAAAGGAGAAATAAAAGGAGGAATAAAAGGAGAAATAAAAGGAGGAATAAAAAAAGAAATAAAAGGAGGAATAAAAGGAGAAATAAAAGGAGGAATAAAAAAAGAAATAAAAGGAGGAATAAAAGGAGAAATAAAAGGAGGAATAAAAAAAGAAATAAAAGGAGGAATAAAAGGAGAAATAAAAGGAGGAATAAAAAAAGAAATAAAAGGAGGAATAAAAGGAGAAATAAAAGGAGGAATAAAAAAAGAAATAAAAGGAGGAATAAAAGGAGAAATAAAAGGAGGAATAAAAAAAGAAATAAAAGGAGGAATAAAAGGAGAAATAAAAGGAGGAATAAAAAAAGAAATAAAAGGAGGAATAAAAGGAGAAATAAAAGGAGGAATAAAAAAAGAAATAAAAGGAGGAATAAAAGGAGAAATAAAAGGAGGAATAAAAAAAGAAATAAAAGGAGGAATAAAAGGAGAAATAAAAGGAGGAATAAAAAAAGAAATAAAAGGAGGAATAAAAGGAGAAATAAAAGGAGGAATAAAAAAAGAAATAAAAGGAGGAATAAAAGGAGAAATAAAAGGAGGAATAAAAAAAGAAATAAAAGGAGGAATAAAAGGAGAAATAAAAGGAGGAATAAAAAAAGAAATAAAAGGAGGAATAAAAGGAGAAATAAAAGGAGGAATAAAAAAAGAAATAAAAGGAGGAATAAAAGGAGAAATAAAAGGAGGAATAAAAAAAGAAATAAAAGGAGGAATAAAAGGAGAAATAAAAGGAGGAATAAAAAAAGAAATAAAAGGAGGAATAAAAGGAGAAATAAAAGGAGGAATAAAAAAAGAAATAAAAGGAGGAATAAAAGGAGAAATAAAAGGAGGAATAAAAGGAGGAATAAAAGGAGGAATAAAAGGAATAAAAGGAGGAAAATGAGTGCAAAATGAGAGGGAAAAAAAGGAAACAAAGGAGAAAAAAGAGAAATAAAAGGAGGAATAAAAAGAGAAATAAAAGGAGAAATAAAAAGAGAAATAAAAGGAGGAATAAAAGGAGGAATAAAAGGAGGAATAAAAGGAGGAATAAAAGGAGGAATCAAAGGAATAAAAGGAGGAAAATGAGAGGAAAATGAGATGAAAAGAAGGAATCAAAGGAGAAAAAAGAGAAACAAAAAGAAGAATAAACCCCAAGGGTCTCCTCTCACAGCAAGCTGCTGACTCCTCCTCATGTTGACGCTGTCCTGGCTGTTCCTTGGGATGTCATCCAGGGACAGGAACTGCCGGGAAGAGCCCCCAGGTGTCACCCCAGGTGTCACCCCAGGTGTCACCCCAGGACAGAGGGACAGC